AAAGAGAAACGAAATTATATTTTTCATAAATTTAGTCGAATCGATGGATACATAAATACACTGTCGTTCTTGATTTATTCCTTTAAAATAATTATATTTAAGTACATCTTTGATCGTTTGGTAGAAAGAAATGGCGATTTAAAATCAAGAAGGACCTTTAAAAAACATGGTTTTAAGTGCAACCGAAATAAATAAAATTAATCAAATATGTTTAACATTACCACTAAAATGGAGAAGAAATTGAACCAACTACTCTTATGTGGGAAGATACAGAGTTAAAAATGCACTTTTTCTTTTAAAAAAAAGACTGTTATTTTAATGATGTAACATCTAATTTATTATAAACAAAATATTTATATTGTAACACTGTATTTTCTTCTGCGTCTAATTAATTTAAGCAGCTTTATACTCCGACTAAATAAGAAATCAAAAATTAATTTCTCTGATTACGGAAATCCATTTTGGATTACATACTGCGAAAATATCAGTATAAGATGTAAAATTCAATTCAATTTAAATGAACATTTATTTTCTTCCATTCAATTTGACAAACATATTTGACACCTTTTCAAACAATAATAATATATACGTAGGAATGAATATAATGAAAGAACTTGTATTACAAGGAAGAAGGCGCGAAACCCGATAAGCAGAGCTTGTAATGGGTACGCCCGAATACACAAATACAGAATATACATTGTAAATAGAAGAAAGGAAGAAAGGAAGAAAGGAAGGAAGAAAGGGATAGGCAAAGAGGAGAGGAGGATAGAGAGCTTGGAGAAAGAGAAAAGAAGAGGACTGCAACATAGTAGCAATGGAGTGTATGACGTGCATAAACAACATAATGGCAAAATATAGGTGAAGGGTAAATATTTGACTGCATATAATATACATATATAAATTATATACTTCGTTACAAGTACATGCATTTATACAACATAGGCCTATACATCCATACACATCCCCTTATACAATATACTAACACACTCGTCAACGTAATCGGGTAGGCTAATACTTATGCACTGTAATTTGAAATGAAACATTTTTTAAGCTTCCAGGTTTGGCTTGATAAAAGATGGTCTATGCTCATTTTGTCAAAATAATGAGGACTCATAATTTACGAACAAATTTTTTTATGATTGTGAAGAAAACAAAATCAGTATTTGTGGAAAACTTGCGGAAATGTTTTTAATGGCTATTACTACAGATATTAAATTGGAAAGAATGTTATATTGGCATTAAAATAACCCAGGTAGGAATTGAACAACTGGTAAATAATTTAGTTCTAATATATGATATTACAATTTTCGAGAAACAAAAGTAGCGGTTTTCTTTTTTTTTTCTTTTTTTTGTACTTCAAGAATATGTTTTATTTAAAGAGTAATATTGTTTTTATCTACAAAGCATTATTTTATTTATTTCAAAATATAAAAAAAAGACTAAGTACGTGTATATGTTTGATAAAGCTCTTCTGTTCAATTCTGAAATAGGTAATTTGTATTGACTTCATGTGTTCTAGATTGGTCGGGTTGTTGCTTTTATGATTATAACCAAATATGACCAGGACGAACGCCTGCGAGACTGACATTGTAGGCCTCGTAAACGTACGATTTTTTTTTTAAAGTTTCGCAAGACCGTCATGTCGGTTTCATGAGCCAGCGGTTTCGTGAGCAGTCGGTAAAGTCTTACGTGACACCAATTGCCGGTCTCGTGGACACTTGGTCTGTCGGTCTCGCATGCCGTCGTTCAATTGGGCTGTATCCAATCATCGTAAAGGATACCATGTAAACGATTCATGACAACTTCATCAAAGCAGCTTTTTGGGTCCGAGACGTGATCAAGCGACACGTGAGGGCCAAAGGAGGCTCTCGAAGACCTCTTTGAAGATGGGATGCTTGAATCCATAGACGATTGGATTGGCAACGCTATTTGCCAGCATGATCATAGAGCTATAGATCCTTAATGCATCGTCACCGGGTATCATAAAAAATATGCTTTGTGGTAGGATACAGATCACGAGCACACCAGCAACCACGAAGAGATTCTGAGTGATTTCAACTTTCATTTTGTTGATGGCTTTGATCTTTGGTGGACGGGACCCTCGAGACGTCGACGAAACCTGGCTCTGGTTGTTCAATATGGCGCCAGATCTGATGTCTTCAGCAATTGGGAACTTGTTGCTGCTTGCGGTGTCGTAAAACATGACGCAAAATCAGAAGATAAAATATCAGGGTAAGCATCGACAATAGCACGATGGCAAACCGAGACTTTGTTCCATCCAATCTATTGTTGCTACTGCCATCGCAAAGAAATCAAAATATCCTGTGTCTTTATCTGTAAAACCACTTTCGTTCTGTTGATCACTGTTTCACCAAGAATCGATTTTGATAAAGACTGTCTATAATCAGCAACATTCCTTGTCCCATACCATTAACCACGGCCTTATAACCAATCACGAAAAGTATTAGTTGATATCCACCTATTGTCTACCGTAGAATATGCCATCGTGAAGTAATCGACATCATTCTGTGACTATATCCTTTAAAAGCAGCCTCGATCTCGTATTCAATCTTTAAGAAAATAAGAAACGACTTTGCTGCTGTTCCCAGTATCGCCGTTTCTCGCCTTCTAATACAAACCAGTACCTTATATCAAACCATGTCTTATCGGATGCTTTTAGAACACGATGCAGAGATTGATAAGTCAACTAGCCACTTTACATTTGACAGTATTATTGCCACCAAAGGCTTGGCGTAATTTGAACATGTCAATAACATAACGTCATTTCATTTGAACATGCCTAATAAAATTAAGTGACGTCCCTATTTAAAGAACCGCCTCTCCTATATACATGACTGACTATCATATTCCGGGTAATTATATACGCCGCTGCCACCAATAACCGATACCGTATTTTTAGGTAATTTGAAATGACAACATCAAAATGAAGTGAAGCCATGACGTTCACAATGCAAATGCAACGAATCGTCCACGTCGTCGCGATGAAGGTGGAGTGGTAAGTTGTTGCAATAATGACGCAAACTTTGACAGGCCTACATCGAACACGGAGGTACAGATTTCATTAGGTACATTATTAAATAGCCTTGTGTGTCACCTATTGAATTGTGCGAATATGACATCTGTCCTATCAGGATATTAAATTGCTTTAATTTTTCGATAATCTTTGCGATTGTTTCATCAGTAGCCAGTAAATCGGGGGGGGCACTTTTTTTGCTGCCAGAAAGGGGCGGAGGTCGTAGTTTAAACACATATAAAGGGTGTATTTAACATTCTAAAGCACTCTCTCTTTTGCCGGGGGGGGGATTGAACAACTAAAATACCCCCCCCCCCCTCGATACGCCAATGCACACACAACTGTCAGTGACAGATCTAGGTAAGTCCGACAATATTATTATCAGACTAAATTAAGAGAAGGGGGAAAAGCGACAAAACGGTTATCACATTTTGGAGTGCATTTTCACCAAAATAAATTTATATGAAAATCAATTAAATGAGGCATACAAAATATATACATAAAAGCCTCAGTATTGTTTACTGGGGTTGCCCAAAAATATCCTCAGTTGCGCCTGGCAAAAAAACAGCACCATCAACGCCTTCGATTCCCAGGTCAATGTTTAAGGCATAGATTCAACCTTGTATCTTTAGGTATCAAAAATATTTTCACGATAAAAGAAATACATTTTTCATGATCAGTTGCAGTCAGCATAAACAAAATGAACAAAGGCTTATTGGATTTAAGTAAATACCTATTTGAAAAGGAGGAATTTTCTTTCATCATCAAGCTTATGCTAAGTATTTTTGCATGCCCATGGGCCCATTGCACGTCAGCTTGAGTTTCTACCTACCTGGGATTATAATTTTTCGCATCCCACTTTCTGTTTAAGCTGACAGATAACTATTATTTCTCTTCAAGTACAAAGCTGTTTTGTCGTGGTTACAAGAAGTACGTCCTGTCACTCTCTGCAGCCAAATTCGAAATAAAAGTGAGCAGGGAGAAAAACAATTGACTATGCGTACGCCCCGGTGCACACACCGTTTTGTAGTAGTTTACTTATCTAGGACAAAAGGCCCGGTCACACAGAGGGGACGCATGGGGAACGCACGGCCAGCGCACGGGAAATTTGCAATTTTCGCCAGTGCGTTGTCGTGCGCCCAACTTTTGTCGAAGCTACAGCGAGCTGACACCAAATGCATAGCGTGTTGCTAGCGCGCTGAGCGCATACAGGGCGCATCCAGTGCGCATACAGACTGTACACAGAGCGCACATGATAACAACTTCCACGAATGCACAGCGTGTTGCTAGCGCGCTGGACGAATGGTCCACGCATGCACCGCGTTCTCAACAGAGGTGCATGGTCACACATAGACGACGCGCGGCCCGCGCATTGGAAATCGGAAAAGACCATGTGCCTAACTTTTGTCATGATTTTGGAAAAGCTAGCGAGCTGACACAAAATGCACAGCGTGTAGCTAGCGCGCTGTGCGTATACAGGGCGTGTGCTCCGCGTATGTCTGGCGCTGGTCTAGCGCGCTCCACGAATGTCTGGCGTGCCTTTGGCGTGTACATTCAAGCGTCGAGCTCCGCGCACATTTTTGAGCATGCTCAAAAAATCCCGACGCACAAAGCGAATGACGACGAATGCATAGCGTGGGTCCAGCGCGCTCGACGAACGAGTAACGAATGATGACGCACGCCTAGCGAACGACAACGCACTGGCCCAAATTGCAAATTTCCAATGCGCTGGCCGTGCGTCCCCCATGTGTCCCCTCTGTGTGACCGGGCCTTAAGCAGTGTCAATTTATTACACTACAATATATCCATGACTATTGTAAACTGTCCAACAATCCCTGCTGCCAACCCGGTCTATTGAATTGCTTTTACATTGAAATTTATAGCTGGATGAAAAAGGCAATCGCTATCCTTAACAAGTCCTTTTATAATCACGACCCATTTTCTCTTTGTGATCCGATACGACAGCAAGGTGTTAAGGAAGCACGAGCTGATAAAGTAGACAACTCCCATTCCCGCGATTAAATTTTCTGCCCGTACCAAGTTGTCATAATTTTCTTCTGGCTTAGCAGGACCTGGATGAATCGTCCAAAGATGGTGCCGAACTGGTGTATAGTTGCATTCATCACTGCACTTACACTTGGACATGCATCTGCAAATGGTAAGCGGGATTGTCTTATTTGTGTATTTGGTCAATCGACTGCAGACACATAATTACAGTCTATAAATGTAACTAAGTGGACTAGAATGATAACTATACTGGTGATATAGATTATCAGCTCTTTGTCCAGATTAAACCAAAAGGAAGCGAGAGATTTATCTTCGTTCCCCATTCAGCTTGTTGGTTATTAAGCGATACTATTGATCATAATGGTGATAACAATGATTTTTTGTGTAGGGCTCATGACTGTCAAACTTACCACTCCCGGAGATTGACAATTATAACCCCGGCTTTCCAATTCCAAGCATACCAATTTGCTCTACCATGATTCAAATTATTGTAGGTAATCGGGACCAGGATCTTCAAAAAGCTCCCAAGCATTATAAGCGTCCGTTTTATTAATCAAGGGTCAATTAATAATAAACTGGTCTCTTTTACGTTTAAAGAATGAATGTCTTCTTTTGATTTTACATCGTATAATGTGATTATCGTGAATTCATAAACCTATCTCAGAAAATGTGTAAATATTGGCTTCATTGAAGAATCCTGTGCCGTTGAATGCTTTTTTATATTATATTTAATAAAACAGAAATATTCCGCCATAACACTGACTCATCATCAATACATCTTGTAAATCATGAAATGTTGATATAGACTAATCCTGGTTCTTTCATGCTCCCATAATTATAGGGTTTGAAAATGAGCTGAAACACCTGAAACCTCAGGCCAGTGCTTCAACGCAAACGTCTGCAGCGCAGGAAGTTATTAAGAGACTTCTTCCAACAAGATACCAGAATTTCAAAGTTGTTGTTAACCCAGCTCCCAGTGGTGATAACCTCGATACTTTTGAGGTATTCTGTTACTGTATTATCATTGCTTTTCAACCTTCTTTCGCAAAATCAGCTTATTATAGTCAAGGCTCTGTTAAGTATGCTTAGATTATCATGATTATTTCATCCCTATAATAGACAGCCACAAAAGTCATTTGTAATATCGAAAACATAATATCTTAAAGCTTATCTGCCGTAGTTTACAGGAGGGATTAGACCGCTCTGCAAGGTCACTGGACAGGTGGTTATCTCATCAACTCGGCTCTCAGTTAACATAAGAAAAAGAGGATCATGGGGACCAATGGTCACCGATTAGGCATTGTTTGTTATATAGAGGGCGCAAGTAGCTACCAGTAGTGCAGTGGGCCTTTAAAAGGTTGTACTAAAGAAATTATAAACATTGATGCGTTAATTGTTATATATACCCATGTTTGCTTTTTTTGTCGAGACAGAATTTATTGACCGTTTGCGTTTTAATTATATTTATCACCTTTCTCTCGCTCTCTTACAATACTTATAATCAGTCTTGATCTTGAACGTGGTCATGGACTGATTGTGACAAATCTTTGGATCATGTTCTTAACAGATTTCTGCAGATGGGACCACTGTTAACGTGACTGGTACTACCGGAGTAGCTGCAGTATGGGGTGTCCAGCATTACCTGGTACATTACTGTAACTGCCACATCTCGTGGAATGGGGACCAACTTTACCTACCTCCAGATGGGCAATGGCCTGTGATACATCCCCCGCTAAAGGTTACCAGTCCAAATAGGTACATGATAATTTTGGTTCGATTCTTATTGAACTCGGCTGCCTTACCAAAGGGCATGGGCACATTGACTTGGTTTTCCAAGCCGGGACCTCCTGGTTGCGGGACCACTGCTCTAGGTGAAGATCCATCGCGCCTGCAATGCCTTTTTTTTACGAGGCTTCATTTTATAATGGAGCATTGTGAAGGCGAGAAGTCCATACGCCAATAAATTCAAGTTTGCATTCTTCATTTTGCGTTCATTTTCTGTACTATCACACGGAGCGTCAATGTCTGCACCAGTCGCTAACGCAGTCCTACGTTAGGCGAAAGACCTCTCGTGTGCAACGGATATTGATTAGCGTAAGTAAAAATCGCGATCGAAATGATACTGTCTTCAAGCTCAACGGACATGAGTGCTATATACAAATGCCGAGGTGATCGAAATCTACTATACTCCAAGTGCTTTATTGCAATAAAGCAGGCTACTATACAATGATTCAATTTAGGTAATAGTGTAGCAAGGTCATTTACCTTAAATAACCATGTACAAACCCTTTCACAAGATTGTGTTCTTGCTTGTAGATTTCGCTTCTATCAGAATGTCTGCACTGCCAGCTACACGTTTGCTTGGTGGGATTGGGAGCGTTGGGAGAGGCACATTGACTGGATGGCCCTGAGTGGCATCAACCTTCCACTAGCGTTCAACGGTCAGGAGGCTATCTGGCAGAAGGTCTACCTAAAGATGGGCTTGGAACAGGAGGACCTGGACAAACACTTTGGTGGACCAGCATTCCTGGCATGGTGCGTGTTTATATAGCACAGATGCTCCTATTTGACCTTCATATCCTCGTAGAGCTTCCATGCAGGCCTCTATCGCTGAGGTATAGTTGATGGTCACAAAGACTGACAAAAGAATTTACGGATGCGAGGTGGAAAATAGTTTCTTTTGTTTGGAAGTTGTTGGAAAACATGAATAATGAAAACGGGGGAATTTTTTTTTTAAGCATTCTGAACCAAAAATAGAAGTAGAAAAGACAAACATGCTTAAGATGGTAACTATATGGTTTTGTGACTGTGGTAAGTCTAATATTAGCTATTGATTCTCCTCTTTATATCAGGGCTCGCATGGGTAACATTGATGGGTGGGGCGGACCCCTACCCCAATCTTGGCACACCAATCAGCTGGCTCTCCAACACCAGATACTGAAGAGGATGAGGGACTTGGGAATGATACCTGTACTACCTGCCTTTGCTGGACATGTCCCAAAATCTTTTTCAAAGTAAGTTTAATTTTATTAAGTTTTCTCCTCTTCCTTAGGAATCAACCTCTTGAATTCTTCATTGTTGTCGTCATGGGGTATTCAATATTTCTTCTTTTTTAACTGATTTGTACCGATTACTTTACTGATTACTTTATTGTTTATGTTTGCCTTTTCTAGAGTTTTCCCAAATGCATCTATTTCAAATCTTGGTGATTGGGGACGTTTTGGTCCGGAATACTGCTGGTTCGTATACATTTCATTATTTAATTATGTACTAGAATAATAGATAAGCTGGACAGATCGAGAATTGTCATTTGACTAGTTGGCCACTGCTTCCTTTGATCTTAATAGAGGAAATGGATTTTGACAGGCCTTTGTGATAATTTCATATTACTTCAGATTATTTATACTGGAATATTCCTTACAAATATGCATGAACGATAAATTATTTCTATAGACAGATGGTCAGACCACAACTCTGGTAAATGCAATGCTTGATTTAAGCTGAGAAGTAAATATTGCTGTTTCATACTTTGATATGCGAATGTCCTGGATTCCTGGTGCCTACCTCTTTTTCGTTTTTATTTATTTTTTCTTTTGGCAGCACATCTTTACTGGATCCCCAGGACCCAATGTTCAAGCAAGTCGGAAAGGCATTTATTGATGCTGTAAGTCAATGAGATCGGTGGACACTGTAAACCTCTATTTAGTCTTTTGTTGGAGAATAGCGATTTGTGAAAATTTGTGATGAGAGAAAATGGAATAGGAAAAATAGCGAGTAGCTTTAAGAAATGAGGAATATCACCAGAATAGGAATTGGAAGAAATGAAAGTAAAAAACAACTAGACCTGATAACATAAAAGTTTGTAATTAAGTAGACTATATACAATAATTCTTTGTCATTGTAAATTTGTATCTTTGTGAAATCTGTTGGTTGATTTTAGTCTTCCCTTCGAGCAAACTTCAACCTATATGATTTCTGTTTTGTTCCCATTTCCCTGTAGATGTCTGAGGAGTTTAATGGTACCGATCATATATACAGCGCAGACACCTTCAATGAGAACAAACCCAAATCAAGGTGACTACATCTTAACTATAACGCAAATCATAAATTTGCTACCATGATATGTTTTGGTAATATTGGATTAGAATTTAATGTTAGACGCTATTTATGAGGAATTTGCGGTATATCAGTATCAGGATCTAGTGTTGTGACAGATTTGGTACAGAAATATTTTATAAGAGACTGGCTTTGGTAATGTTTAACTCGTGGGATTTAATGGTATTTTAAAACAAGGTTGAAGTTGACATGAAATCAGTGTAACAGACAAGAACAGGAGAGCTTAGGAGAGAAATTTATATAGTATATATGTATAGAGAGAGAGAGAGAGAGAGAGAGAGAGAGAGGGGGATGGGGGCGATCGTGCTGATCACTAGAGCAAGGTTAATGAGGACAAACCTGCTGGGGTGCTGTGGTTTCTTCTGCTTTCTATGAGGCAGCCACAAATAAGTGTGTTCATATATGACCAATCAATAACGACCGTCTGCCATAATTTTACATACACTTTAAACTTCCGAATCCATTCATCTTCTCTCCACACTAGAGACTCTGCTTACCTCTCAGCTGCCAGCAAGGGGGTTTATCAGGGTATCATCGAGGGGGATCCGAAAGGGGTGTGGCTCATGATGGGGTGGCTATTTCAGGACACAGGATTCTGGGGCCCCACCCAAATCAAGGCTCTCCTGCAAGGTGTTCCGATTGTAAGAATAGTTACACCCTTTAACCTTTAAAAAGGTTGACATTTCAACAAATATTGAACACTCTTTTTCCCAATGTAGAGATATTTGTCGATGCAGTTGAATTGTTATTAATGCAATCCCTCAGATAGTCTTATGGGTATTCGAAAACAATGTCAACATTTTATGTCATTTATTCATATGGCATTGGGTCACAGAGAATGATATGGTTAAAACAAATATGCGACTTTGACCATGAACGGTTTATAAATGATTTTGGATGGGTCGAGTATGGATCTCTTCATGCAGGCTAAATTAAGAGTGCATTAAGGCATTTCCGGTGTTTCTGGTATTGTTGGAAAAGAAAAGTTATGTTTATACATTATGTCTACGTATGCGTGCGTGTGTATGTGTGTGTTTGTCGAAATATGGTATAATCCATCGGTGTAACATTGATGCAAGAAAAAGTATAAATTGATGTTACCATTAATTGCTGCTGATTTATGCAAATGGTAGCAAATAATGCGTTCAATATTTTTGTTTACTTTCAATATACACATTGTATATGAAGTATATGTCATTGTTTGGTGTTTTATGCTATATTTTTAACCAAATTTTGCCGAATTTGCAGGGTCGTATGATAGTCCTGGATCTCTATGCAGAGGCTCGTCCCTTCTACAAGACCACATACTCTTTCTACGGCCAGCCTTTCATATGGTGCATGCTCCACAACTTTGGAGGAAACACTGGGCTCTATGGCAAGCTGGATGCTGTTAACCAGGTATGCATATACGAGAATCTTGTGCCAGCATGTATACTAAGCCAATAATTTCAACAGCCATACCCCCACTAATTGTGTGATGTTCATCATAGATTACAAATCAAAAGTTCTGCCGTTCTAGCTTGCTTTCAAGTGATGCGAAGCTCCCCTCGCCTAAATGAAATTGCGTTCTGCTCTGCATGTCTGTTAGAGTATTCTGTCGGTTCCACCCCTCCAAGAGATAAATGTCAGCCTACATACATAATAAATATTGATCTGGGTAAACGAAGAGTGTTTTGTGGATTGGACGAGGTTTCTCATTTTGGAAATTTGATAAAGTTAACCTGTTGACTACTGAATTCTCCAATTCACATAAGCTTCATACAGGGACAACCCGGTCGCTGTAGGTCAATATAGGGTCAATAAGGAAATATAATATCTTTACAATTATCAAATAACTAAATGCACATTTTCTCTTTGATTGTGTGGACAGGGCCCGTTTGAAGCCAGAAATTATGACAACAGCACTATGATTGGCATGGGAACGACACCAGAGGGCATTTTTCAAAATTACGTCATGTACAACTTCCTGACTGACATGACCTGGAGGTCGGGTAGCACCAACGTCTCGAAATGGTGAATTAACTCGCTTTTTATGTTAAACAGTGACATAGGTATGAAGACTTGCCCCTATCGAATGGCGTATGTCAAATGCACACGAGGCGTTATTTCGATTGTCTTATTACTTGCATTAATCAAGCATGTGAGCTAACCCAGACGATGGGAATTCATCATATTGTTGCACTGTTCATTTTGCCATTCACTTCTTGCAAAAGATATCCCTCTCACTTGGATCGTCAAAGCTAGACCGCTCCAATCGCTGATGCAGCTAGTCCCACGTTAACGGTCTTAAAGGCAGGCTTTACTACTTCAGCCAGAAGGGATTAGACCACCCAGCGAGCCAGCGAGGTCATTATGACAGGTGGCTATCTCATTAACTCAGCTCTCATTTAACATAAGAAAAAGAGGATCATGGGGGACCAACAGGCACCGATTGGGGAAGTTTTCTATATAGAGGGAGCAAGTAGCTACAAGTAGGACAGTGTGCCTTTAAAAGTAATCGAGAAAGGATGAAGGGGATATAAAAACAACATAACATAACACTCTCTTCACGTTGTGACCTTGTTTTCGATCTTTTGCAGTCTGTCCTTTCAGTATCAACCTGTTGCCCCTTTACGAATCCCTCCAATGATGCAAACCACTCTACGCCTCTGATGTGCTTCAGGGTCTGGCTGGTTCCTATATTTTATTTCTATTATTCCCCACACTTGCTGAAGATGGCGTTATCGACAAACTCATTTCGCCGGGGGTAGAAATGCGGGGATTGCGTCATTTTCGGTTGTAAGAAGTAGGGGGAGATCGCGGTGGTGGAGATCATTAAAAATTAAATCGGCCAGATTCTGGACAACATGACTATCAGCGCTACATGGCTATATCATTATCATGAGCTACCTTAATGATTTTATCATAAAGGGGACTTATTTATCAAGATGGAGAAAAAATGGAAACAAATAAGGGGGCTTATTCAATTTATTATTACGGATCTATTTCAAAAGGATTCCACCTTCTTTCATCCTGCAGGATTGAGCAGTATGCTGGCAGACGTTATTCCAATGACCCGAACAAGAGTGAGGAAGCTACCGAGGCCTGGGTTATCCTTAAAGAAACCGTTTACAACAACACGGGTACTTTACAAGATCATCAGTATGCAGTGCCTGTCAGGAGACCTTCAAATATCATGACATCACCGGTTAGATATTTTTAATAAGCTTTTTTCTCTGCATAAATTATATTATCCTACAACCAAAATGTGATTGATAAAAATTCAGAAAGGCAGAAACAGTGCAAAATGATTAAAAGACAAACAGAGCGACATTGTATACTGTTGTTCATAAGGTTTGACGATACATGATGCCCAATATTTTGTGTCATCAGAATGAAAGTGAGAACTCTAGTTTTTTTGTTTTTTTAAAGAAAAATTGTATTCAATCATACTTAGCAAGAACAAAGCAATAGATTTGAACAAAGTACATGTTGTGACATATTGGTAAAACAAACTTTGTTTAACATCAGTTGTACATGTCTCCATTTATTTAGTAATACAACAAATTAATTGCGTTTGATAGAAGGAACCCGCACAAGTTCATAAAAACCTTTAAATCTTTCATTATAATACATATTTTATGCTGCAGGTTTGGTATGATTACACCAAGGTTGCCAAGGCATGGGAATTTCTTCTCGAAGCATCGACTAAATTAGGAACAAGTCCTGTGTTCAGGTGAGAGTTATAACTATCTTGTATAACATTGAAGTCTTGAAATAACAAAAATGCAAAATCATAAAAACATTCAATTCTATCAACTTTTATTTTTATAATATTATTTTTAACACCTCCAAGGATGATTAAGAAAACCTTGACATAGCTATTATGCCCTAATCCACGAGGTTTATATATTAACGCATGACATATCCCCTCAAGAGATCAGACGGGCCTTTTCATTTCCTTTCCTTTCCTGCACACCCAAAAATGTCTCACCTTTGGTAAGAATTTAGAAAAAGAAACTTTAGCCAGGTTTTATGTTTAAACACCATTGTAATCGTTTATTGGATATAGATATGATTTAGTGGACGTGACAAGAAATGTTCTACAAGACCTGGCTTTTGACTTCCAGCAGAAGCTTATGGTGTCCTTCCGTATCCGGAATGCTGGAGCTGTCGGGTAAGTAACTCTTGATATAGATGGTACATGCATAGGTAGAGGTGCAGCTGTGGTTAAGTCGCCGGACTGTCGATCACAAGATCCGTGGTTCGAGACCCGCCGCGGCACTAATGTCCTTTGGCAAGACTTTGATCTGCATTTGCCACACTCAACCCAGGTGATGTAAATGGGTACCTGGCAAGAATTAATTTTTGGAATGCTAGAGCGCTGGAATGGCAGCATAGCTAAAGCCGGGTTAATTATCTCCAAGTTTAGAAGCGCTTAGTGATTGTAATAAGCGCTATATAAAAACGAAGTATTATTATTATGTAACTTACTTTGCCTAAAGTGTATCATGTTTACATAACTTATTTATGGCACGAGATATTTCACGTAGACTCCTCTTTATTTGTCATCGGGTGTTTACATGAGAATTTTTGGCGCAGTATTTTATAGAATCTATTAATGTTTTTTCCTTTTTAAAAAGCATCACACAACGGGCGATTAAAATATGGTTACCATTGTTACAGAGTTGTTATAAGGTGATAACCTATATATTGGTGGAAGTGTCACCCTATTTGATGATACTCTTCTTTGTACCCGTTTTTGTTTCTCGTAGAGGTAATGGCACTTTACTATGCAACCTGATTCTTGATATGGATAACATCACTTCCTCTCATGAGGACTGGTTGCTAGGTACATGGCTGGAAGATGCTAAGTCCTTAGCAACTAATAATGACGTAAGTCCTCCTTCGATACGATTTTGATGATCTTATGACGAAAGCAGAAATAGTACAGATAACACGTTGCAATTTCAATTGCACTATTATGTGTTTAAAAGAGAGAATTAAACAAAATAAATTATAAACATATTTTTACTAGATTGGAGGCCTTTATGCAATATACTGTTTGACAAAAGTAATTTTAATTATTTGTTATATAGTGTTTTTTAATTTATATGAACCATCATGAAATGATACATTCAATAACATTCGTGATTATTAAACTATTTTGGTTGTACTCAATACCGTTGTCTATCGTTCCTACCTCAGGAAGAATCATTGTATGAATACAATGCGAAAAATCAAATCACCATCTGGGGGCCTAAAGAAGAAGTAAGTGGTCACATGATTATATTTCATCATTTGATTATTAGCGTTAAATCGTACGCACACGGGCGAGTCCGATGAATACGGCCTATATATACATTGAATTAAAACAATATTTTTATGTTATTTTTTCCAAAAAAACATACAAGTACTTAATTACACGATGTATAATCTTTGATACAGTTAATAGTAGTCACCGAATGAAAGTAGCAAGAAACACGTAACGTTTTTGTTTTATTCCTTTTTTTTCTTTGATGATTGACATTGTGTTTTAGTGCAATTTTTATTTTCTCTTCTGCATTCTGCCCCCAACAGATTCTAGACTATGCAAATAAGCAATGGGGAGGACTACTTCGGACGTAAGTGTGATATATATTTGATGATTTAAATACAACCATACGAGTCATCCCTTGTCATGTGAAAGACGTCTGACCATTTTCAAATCGTGAACTGTAACGAAAAAGAAAAACTTTAACCAGTGGAATTAAACAGCGCATGTTGCCATGTTCACATTGATATAGTTCAGTCATGTTAACAGTAAAATTCTTATTTTCATGTCATTGCAATTTAATCAGTTGGATGCATATCGAATCCCATTTTTACTGACAATAATTATTATAAAAAAGTAGAAATGTTTTCAATAGAAAATCACTATTCTTTTGACACCCTTTTTCCTCCACATTTAGTGTAATTACATAACAGTCACTTGGTAAAACTTTGTTTCGTTGACATTCTTTACGTGAATAAAAAAATTCCAACATGGGACATAATTATTGGCTAATCTTTATTACAATCTATCAAGAGAGGCAATGTCATTTTGAATTCGAAATCACGACTGCATCTAGACAAAAACTCTTTTGTATTTCAGGTATTATCATCGTCGCTGGCAACTCTATGTGCAGTACCTTGAGGAATGCATACAAAGTCATCAGCCTTATGACCAAAACACGTTTAACGTGAGATCTTTTGTTGCGGAGAGCGAGTGGACCCACAGCAAAGAGAAATTTCCAACCGAACCCGTTGGTAAGCGCATTTTGCAGTTGGAAAACTTTTCTGCTGGCTTGAATTTCTTTAAAAAATTCTAAGAAGGTAACAACTTTTACTACTATGATTTGAATAGTACTCGGGCAATTGCTAGTATGCTACATATCTGTTTTAACAAAATGATTGATTTTGTAGTTTGCATTTGAAAAACGTTCTACAAAGAGCATGTAATGAACTCGACAACACCTCACTCGGTTCACTGTGGTGAATTTGTGACATCATTTCGTGAAAATATGCACTTACAAACACAATTTATTAGTAAAGCTCCTGTGAATCATATTGGTGTTTCTTAGTGAATATACAACACATTACTTCTAACTTGAACAGTATTCAATCATTATTTCTCCGTACTTAACCTTTTGAATATTCATCATTTTGATTCTCTCGCAGGGGATACGATGGCGATATCCAAAGCCCTCTACGTCAAGTATGAGCCCTTCATTAAGGAGGCTCGAACATTTGGTAGGGCTGAGAAGAGGATGAAGAATGGAAGGAAGCATAGTGCCACCCAAGAGAGGTTACCTTACTCTTACATGTACCACGGAGGCAGAGAGAGGCAGTAGGGATTTTAAAGGGAATTCCGACCCCAATAGGAAACTACTCTCAAAGAACCCCCCCCCCCCCCCCCAAATCAGAGAAGCAAACTGGTGAAAGTTTGATGGAAATCGGACAAAAAGAAGAAAATTATGAATTTTCGAAAGTTTTCAGACGTATGGGCACTTCAAATTGGCTTAATCGGTATAGTGTCACTATGACGAAGTGCCGGAAAACTTTCCCCATTTGATCCACCAAACAAAATGACCAAAATATATGACTCGGCAGTGTCTTTTCATTTTAGAGAACTCGCCTCAATGTATTTTGAGCAGTGTCCCAAGGGAGAAGGCAATCAGGAGAAAACTTAAATTTATGATATTTTTGTGTACAACAAGCGGGAGAGCTATCCGCGACTACATCACAATCTAATAACCAAATTGCCGATTTGAGATTCACATATCTTTAGTGATCTCATATATCAAACACTTTCTTATTACTGGTCTGATTAATTTCAAACTTTCGCCATTCCCTTTTTCTTATTTTTCCGCTTTTATACGAATGAACTTATTTCAAAGATTGGATTGCCCTTTAAGATTATCTCGTCATGAAGCCATCCTAATTGCCTATTACTGACTCGATTACAATTACCATGTTGTAATAATTAATTTGGCTATACGCTTGACAAAAAGCAGATGAAGCAATAGGGACAGAGACCAATAAAAGCTGCAGAGAGAGGTAGAAAGAGAGAGAAGGGAAATATTGAGAGGACGCTGTATTTGTATAAAGGGATATTGTAAACATACTGTAACTCACTTTTTAAATTATGTTGAATAAATATTAAATCGATCCACTCACTCTTATTGCACAACGGGCTTTGAATATTAAACCGGTTAGTGCCGTATGGGGAGGTCGAAAACAAGGTTGGGAAAAAAAAGTATCAAATACTCAAAAGCTAAGGGATGCGTGAGCATTGTTTACATTCTCTGCTCTGTCTAATGAGATTATCATCTGATATCACACGCCATCTCGTGCTGCAGTGTAAATAACTTCATCAGTCGTTATGAGACTGAGCAATCGTCGTGCATCTAAGAAAGGGAAGCGCAGAACTGCGATCAATGAGAAAGTCACTGATATTTATATTTCCAATAACGGGCTGAAAAAAGCGTGATATGAGAAAGTAAAGAATTCACAATACATCATTATTGAGCTAAAATGTATCCAGATTTATGACGTTTATTCAAACAAAAGTAATAATACCTTGGATATTCAATAATCAAAGAGATAACAAATTGGCTGACACTTTGTCAGGAAGTATAGGATAACCAGTAGATATTTATAGAATATTGGATGGCTTTGAGTGTGGTGCAAGAATATATTGCTCGAGCTATGACAATGTGACGAGTTCAATATTGTCATAGCGAGGGCGATATATTCATGTATCACACAAAAATAAAGTCATACAATATATTATTATTATCTATATCACGCTGACTAGCGAAATAACAAAATTTGACTTACCCCCGTTTTCGATAATCAAGCAATATTGTTGCCGGATGTCAGAGCAATACGAAAACGATATTGATCCCTTATCATATCCTACATCATATTTTCAGTAAATTTGTATAATTTTGTTTTTTTAACTATGTCAGAGTGTTGTTTTGCTATACTCTGTTGTTACTCAAATATGATTAAGTCTTAGCATGATTTTTTTAAAGGATTTCCCCAATAATACTAGGGATCCGTGCATGTGTCTATGCATACTTGTGTATTTCTGGAGACAAAATATCTCCTTTTCATAAATACTACCTTCATTTTTCTTTAAGAGATAAAGAAAACTTTTAAAGAGATCCTCTCGGACCATTTGTAAAATGCCTACATACAGTAAGATACAATTTATTATGAGCGAAAAGGGATTTGAAGATTCTCATTTTCCATCAAGGGTAAAAAAAAATTGCAGACAAGAATTGTGGATTTTGTGAATACTATTTCGTCCATCTTGTGTGATGTTGTGCTTTAGACCGAAACTAACCTGTCTACAACAGGAATCAATTTTTTCGAAATTATTTTACACTCCATGTTCGACAATTGATTGTTTTTTAAGTTGCTTCAAACACAATACAAGGCAAAACAAAATCACATTCACTATTACGGCACACAAAAAGGAGCGCTAGATATGCATGCGTATAATTTAGATTGACATAAAAGTCGCGATTTCAATTTGTAATGTCAATTTGCATACCATTCACTAATAGAAAATATAAATCACATTTTCACAATACAGCTCTAAATCTCTTTCTCTTCTACGACATGATTTAAATTGCCTCGTCATTCAAATGGAACCTTTTCCGAATTAGGTCTGTTTATTTCAAGCCATTTTCAACATATCGTAGTACACGAGATCAACCTCATTAATGAACAGTTTGATATTTAAAGACAATTTTGTGAACGGCCGTTTTAGCGGCAGCAAGAAATGATTGAATATCATACCATTCCATTTTACATTGCAGCAGGTGTACATGCAAAAACTACAATCGAAACAAGTCGTGCAGTTATATTTTGGAATAGGATTCCTGATCTTCTCCTATTATTATAAAAAGCCACAAGATACCACTCCCTCTTTCATTTTGCAATCACTTCTGAATGGCATCCATTGAAAACTATTTTCCCAGGTAGAATAATTTGTATCAAAGCACGATCAACATAAAATTTTTGTTTCAGCTCGTGACATCAAGTTTCTTTTATATTTTTAAGAGAAGGTTGAGTTCTGGGTAGAGGTGAACAATAATTTGTGAGCATTTTCGTTGTTATTATGCAAGTGTGGAAGAACCTCAGAGAAAATTGTTTTCCTTGAAAAGCATGGCTCTTCAAATATTTTCATATTCTAAATATGACATATAACAGCTTTAAAATGTGGGTCTCAGTTTTATGCCACATGTTTGTGTAGTCCCATATATCAATATATATATATATATATATATATACATCTTTCCCTGAAAAGCATGGCTCTTCAAATACCTTCATATTCTAAATATGATATATAACAGCTTTAAATTGTGGGCCTCACTTTTATGCCACATCTTTGTGTAGTTCCATATATATACATCTTTCTGATTACAATGTTTCTTACTTTACCAAGACTTGGACTAAGTTCTTATCATTTTGATGATTCCAGAACCTTGCAGTACACACCAGAACTAATGCTACATGATCAACTTTTGTGATCGATTCCACACCGTTTGTTTCACAATGCAATCGCATGACCAGAACTCAACTTTATCTTTAACCGGTGATGTAATCTATATACGCCCGGATTGATTGGAGATAACTTTCACGTGAAGATGCTGTGCTGTGATGTGAGGGCGACAGAAGAGTTTTTTGATACCTTTCTGAAATCGTTCATATTGAAAGGTATAGATTAGTGGGTTGATCCAAATATTTCCAAACGCCATCACTACAGATGTGATGTACATTGGCCCTCCAAAGTCCAGATCAAAACCAAAGCCATAGGCTAGGTAGATGTGTTGATTGAGAGACATGCAGATTACGAAGCAGATCGAAACTGTTGCAAGTGTCTTAATTATATTCTTACGAGCTTTAGTGCGATAGTCTGCAGCGATGCGTCCTAGGACTTTTGGTTCAGTCCCTGCCGGGGCCGAAGATGTATTTGAAGGTTGGGAAATCTGCTTACCACTTCGACGAAGCTCGCGCAAGATTCTAGCGTAGACATAAACCATGGAAGTGACGGGTATCAGGAATTCCAAAAAGTAAGTCGCCAGACAGATTCCTTTTTTTGTTGCCTCGTCAGGCCACAAAAATTCCAAACAGAGTCCGTCTTCGACCTTACTGAAACAAAGTAACGATATTTGAAAGAGAAATCCAGCTATCCATGGAATGAAGGTGACGGCGATTGCTTTTCGAGATATTGTATTGATTCGGTAGTGAATTGGAAAGGCCACTGCAACATAGCGTTCAAAAGTTATCACTGCTAGATTCAAACAACTCGCCACAATCGTAGACCAAAACGGATATTTGGTGTACCAGAAGGCACAGAGGAACCGAGAAAGCGTCGGACGGTCCTCAGGCAAGGCGGGAACAGGGATAACATAGCCGAACAACAAAAACAATGATGTCATAAAGTCAATGAGGGATTGGTTAGCGATGTAAAGGTTGGTGACGTCTTGGAGATCTTTGATGAAAGCGATAACGACCAGGACAAGCCCGTTACCGACAATGCCGAGAATGGCAAATATTATATGGATTGTTGTCAAAATGGTATTAGTGAGATCGTCACTTTGTTGGTCCTGGCCTTCTCCGTCAAATGAAGAGTGATGGCTTGCGTTACTCATGATAACAAACTGCTTGCTGCAATTTTACTTGTATTATACAATATCTATTATGTATAAATCGCATTAACAACTTGGTTATAGGAGGATGTTTCAAAACCTTGCAAAATCCAATATGCAATGCAAATTTTTTTATTTTATTTTTTTTATAATAAGTGTTCCTGTTATACAGCCTCAAAGGTTCACTGGCTATCAGAAGTTATAAAGGTGAATTGCAAGACCAGTCAATCCAGGTGAAACACAACCATCGGTGAGTAAATATAACGGTGTGCACTGTCACTTGAATTATATCTGGATAGTTTGGTTGATAAGGACGATATCTCTCACAAAACGTCAAGTAATTCAAACAATGATGACACTGATAGCAATATACCAATCCTCGTCAAATGTCCATTTGACAATTTGGTGAATCCATCAATCTGAAATTGGCGACATCGGAGGATGTTTTAAGACCGATATCTTGCGGATGATGAATCTAAAAGATCGGTCTTCAAAGATCTGCTCTCTTTCAAAATTTGTCAAGCAATGAGCACAGCTACCAACAAGGAGACTGATATAACTCTTTATGAAGAGGATTTCAACTAAAACTTATATATGAGGATAATAGCTCGTTGCTTGAAGTTCCCAGAAAATTAAACGAAATGGCATTAAAGACTTAATGTTAAAGCTGAAACATAATAAACTGGAGAAAAATGTTTTTTTCCGAGTCGTGGACATAACAGAATGG